TTTCCATTCTACCCATCTATCTATCAACCTCAATTTTTATATTTAATCATATTTTTTTCACCTAAATTAAGTGTATTTTATATACAAGTACTATGTTGGGTTACTTCTCATTTAGGTTTCAACTTTGTTTTAGTTATTGAGTTACCATTTCATTACTTTACTTCCCTCTCAATCTACTCCATCCATTTCATTATGCTAATCGAGTGCAATTTTCTATAATTATATATATCGAATAATAAGACAGTTTTCTTTGGATTTCGATCTTAGTATTATCTAATAGTTAACATGTTTTCTATAAAAAATACAAAATATATAATTTAGTTGGGAAAAGTTGATGAATCATCGATAATATGAGTTGATAAGATGAAATGTTATTAGAAGAAGGAGCGAAGGGTCACAACATGTGTCATCGACTCCAATGCCTTCCTACAACCCGCGCTTAGACTAATTAATTATTATTTACTTTGCTGCAACTAGTGTAACAAGTTTACATAGCTTTCAGCATATATCTTTGTTACATGACTTGTATACCACAAGTAGTTGGGGTCAAGGATTGAAGAAACTTAAATGACAACAAAAAGAGTAGGATTAATTTAATCTATTGGATTTGATTGTGGTTAAAAAAGGAACACAAAAAAAAAAAAAAAAAAAAGGTTAAGTTGCCGTTATAAAGAAACTCAAAGAAGCTACTAATTAGTCAAGAGTGGAGTCTAGTCTAGATATACTAGCAACCTATTTAATCATGATTCATGATCATTGATATATATTTTTGTAAAAAAAAAGTATAGTATAGTAGGAAGGTATGATAAATAGAGATTAGAATAAGGTCAATTTAACATAAATTCTAAAATGGGGTCCATTTTAGGGCCTAAAAACTCATAATATAGGGAGAGTGCTTGAACCAGAAAATTTGATGATAATGATGAGAGTCAGGAGTCAGGGGTTTCGCTTTCACTTTTTGGTTCAACCAACTTACTCCTTACCCAAAAACTAAACTAAAAAAGCCCACTTTCTTATTAATTAAAGGATTCTCTTCCACTAGACCCTTAGACTTGCCTTTTAGCCCCCTTAATTTTTTCCCTTAAAAAGAGGGAATACCCTTTTAATTAATGTTGATTTTCCTAACTTTGCTCAATAATATTAGGAATATTATTATTACTCTAGGCTTTTGATGTGTCAATCCTCTAATCTTTAATAGAATTATTTTTGTGTAGTGATGAATTTTGTGGGTATAAATTCACTATTTTTTTTGGATCTAGTAGATTGTTAATTGGGTAAAGATGATTCTAATCATGATTAGGAGCATTACATTAACATTAATATATACTACTTCACAAATGATATCCATGTCAAGATGCCATACATATCTCTTATAGAAAAGAAAAAAAAAAGTGATTGTGTGTATTGTATCACCTTTCACCAACGGCATTTGAAATCTAAGTTTAAGGGTTTGTTCGACAAAACTAACAATGTCAGCTATTAGAAGATAACTATCAAGCTAGTTGTTTAACGTAAGTGTTGCATATTTATGTTCGAAATAATAAATGTTTCCAGCTAAAAGAGTGAGTGAATAAGAGGTGATCAAATTAAATGATAACAGAAAATGGGCTGGAAATGGACCAAAACTACCTGTCAAAGAGCAGCCACCTATAGTAGAGTGGTCTAACACTTCATATTAATGAAGCCTAAGGTCACATTCAATTATAATTACTATCTCTTCTCTTATATTAACAGTAGAAGAAATAAATTATTCCAAGTGTTACAGAATAATCAAACATTCCTTCTACTTCATAAATTCAGCATTTAATGAACAGGGCTATATTTTGGGCCTTTTGGATATCGTTTCAGTTGTATTGGGCCCAAAAAATAAAATAAAAAATCATATTGAAACACGCTCGGTGGGACTCGAACCCACAATCCTTTGATTAGAAGTCAAATGCCTTATCCATTAGGCCACGAGCGCTTATTAATACGAAGTACAAACAAGTAGTATATGATAGTAAATTACGTCTCTAATTTTGATCGAAATTGTTTTTCGTATTTTTTTTTTTTGAGTTAATTTAAATAGAGTAAGATTATAGTTGAGAAAGAAAATGATCTAATGTAACGATAAGCACATCTAGACATAATCTAAGCGTTTGAGATGATAAGACAAGGTAACAAATATACTAATTAAGTCTGATTTTAAAATGTTCTTATTTATCGTTATGCTAACATTTAAATCGTATATAGAGTAAAAACACATCGATTGGATACCTTTTTTTTATTTGAGGTATTATTTTAGAATTTTAAATTTTCATAAACCACATCCTTTTGAAATTTTAGAATACTTTGGCCTTTCTTTGAAATCTTTATTTGGCCACTAAAATACAAGTATGTATCTTGTTGAATTTTCCTTGCAAAACAAGTAAATTAGAGAAACTAAACTCAACTATTTATACCAGTGGCGGACCCACGTGTAGTCATAGTGGGTCCGCGGACCACCTATTATTTTATTATGAAAAAAAAACTAAATATCAAGAATTTTAGCTTGCAGCCCAGTGGTTTTTTTTTCCCATCCCACCACACACGAGATCTGGGTTCAAATCCCATTACTCACACATTTTTTCTTTTTTTGCTTTACAACCTCACTTTCAATTTTCAAGATTTAGAAATTAAAACATATGTCAGAAACTCAGAACATTTCCCCAATTCCCCCAAATTAAAACCCTAAGTTTCAAACTCGCCTAAATCGAAATCCCCCGCAGCAGTCCTGTCGCCGTTCACCGACCGGTTTTTCGTGCTCCGTCACTCACCGTCGCCGTCGCCGGTATAAGCTTCGTCCGTCAGGCGTGACTGCGTGAGACGTCTGTCCATGGCTCCTAGCCTCCTACAGTCGTACTTTGTGGAAATTCGATTTTTTTTAGGTTAGTTTTAATTTACATAATTACATTACAATAAGATTATAGATTGATTAGATTCTATATCAAATTATCAGTTTAAATGTTTAATTATCAAATTATCTGACTGTATGACTATCACTGATTCATTGTATGAGTTTTTTTTTTTTTTTTTTTTTTTTTTTTTTTTTTTTTTTTTTTTTTTGGGTGAAATTTCTTGATTTTATTAGAGCTTGATTATCTGTATGAGTGTATGACTTTATTAAAGCTTGAATGTTATGACTTGATTATCGTCACTTGATAATTTGTATGATTTTATTAGAGCTTGAATGGTGTGATTTGTGAATGTGAGTTATGGCCGGATATTTGACCATTTGAGCCCTATTATAGATTTATAGTATTATTACTTTTTAATTGCATAATGGCATGGGAGATCAAACGTTGAATGATTGTTTGATTACTTATTTAGAAAGAGATTTGTTTTACAATGTTAGCATGGATGATTTTGTAAATCGTTATCAAAATATGAAAACTCGTCGAGAGCAATTGTAATAAAATTAGTAATTTTTTAGTTGTAATACGAATTTGCATTACTTTATGAAATGAACTTTTTTATGTAATTTTTTTTTTTTTTTTTTTTGTTCATTATACAAGCTTTGACTATTTTTTGATACTTTATGCGGTCGATGGACGATGATGGGACAACCTATTAATCAAATCATGGATCCGCCACTGATTTATACAAATGTATTTTATTAAAAAAATAAATAAAAAAAAGCACGCTCGGTGGGACTCGAACCCACAATCCTTTGATTAGAAGTCAAATGCCTTATCCATTAGGCCACGAGCGCCCTTTGATGTTTTAAGTGAATTAGATATGACTTAACCTTTATAGAAGTTAATGTCTCTAATTTAGACGAAAATTGTTTTCCAAATAAATTTTTTAAACGTAACAAGATTTTCTTTCCATTTAATTTTGTAATCCATATATTTTAATATTTCTATCCTGCAATCTACCAATCTTATTTTGTAAAATCTAATCCTAAAACATTCATTTACGAAATACTACCATTAGGTCAACTTTTTTAATTCCTTTTGTTATAAATACTACCATTAGGTCAACCTTTTAATTTCCTTTTGTCTATGCATTCATCATTCGCTAAGAAGTCTTGGAGAGAAATTCCTTTTACGTGGAAGAAAATATGGATGTAGTTGCTTTGTGGGAGGAGGCGTCTAGAAAATTTGATAATTTAGAGGACACATGGGAAGTTATTAGTAGAGTTTCAATGCAGCAAAGAATTACCGAAGTCGTTAGTTTGGATGAGAAGATGACAAGAGTAGATAGTGTTCTTGAAGAGGTAGAACGGCATTCGTCCTCACCGGTTTATGTACCGCCAACACATCAATGTCGTCATGGAAAAGGCAAAGAGATGAAATTTATCCTCGATAATTTGGGTGCGAAAGGGGTAGATAGTGTTCTTGAAGAATTACCGCAGCCGCCATCTTCATCAATATCAACGCAACATGGTTATGGGAAAAGAAAAGAGCTAAAAGTACTACATCAAAATCTTAATAAACCTTTTTCATCATCACCACCTAAACTGGATGACTCGTCATATTGTAAGAAGTTGGAAAATACGAAGCGGAAGTTGCAAGAAGGGTACAAGAAATGCCAAAATGTGTTTAATTGGTTTGAATGATCTTCCTACACAACCTAAACTTTTAGTAGCCGAAGAAAGCAAAAGGGAAAGCTTAAAGATTTTAGAGGGGTGAAGATTATGTCCCATCAAATATTTGGTTGTTAATGGTACGACAAGATGTTTGATCTAGAACAAGCGAAACAAAGATCGATCAAGAATTGTTGAAACGGCATATTAGCGGGGACGATTATTAGTTGATAATATTGATTAGCAATTTATTAATAAGTTTGTCACGCACTTGAACTCTTGAAGAGAAAAGATGAAGGTTGCATCTTCTTCTGCTTTCTTGCACAGTAACGAGCGAAAGGAGAAGATATGCTTTTGTGCAAGAAAGCATAATGTATTGTAGTATAAGTAGCAAAATAATAAGCTACCATAGTATCTATCAGCAGGCTTCATTAGTGTTTGAACTTGCCTTCGAACTTGTAACAATTTTCTTGAGAATGTACTATTCTGTACAGCAAAATTTCAATTCATTTTCTCAAAAAATTGATTTCACTACATCCCTTGTTGCTGCCTCTATGCAAAGAATAAGCATTGGACTGATTTACAAAATATGAACATACATTGATACAGTACTTAGCTTGTAGTTTTATATACTAATATTAAGGTACAATAGCCTATCCCACTTGATATACAATCAAAACTGCAGAATATATTGGATCAGCATAAGCAATCTCCAAGTCTGTATTAAGAGCAAATCATACTGCACAATTCCTCCAATCTTGTAGCTGAGATGCCTGTGTAAGGCAAGATCTTGAGTTTGTCACTTCGCAAGCACCTTAAAACCGTCTGCCCCCTCAGTTCAGTAGTCTGAAATCAGGATCACATCATAAATCAGCATTAGCAGTGAGAAGAGATGGTTCTGTGCAAATCATCTATAAAATAGCATATCAAATCATTGTTTCAATCAACTTTTGAGCAATTTCATTATTTCAAGTTATTACTCTGAATAAAAACATTATGCATGTCATTTGGTACTGTAATTGAGAATATTAGCATACCAAATTAGTTAAGAAATACCCTATATTCAATTCCTTTCTGTTAGATGAACATTACCTTACAGGATGAAGTTTTGATATCACAAATCCACTTTCCTGAAGGCACACAATCAACGTAGTGGCACCAACTGCAGTATTTGTTGATATCTATGCTGCTGAGAGCTGCTACAATGAGGCCAGCTACCCTGCATGTGGAATCCAAACCTCAGGTTTGATCGAACATCTAAGTATTTGCTTTGTTTCCAGTGAGAGAAGAACTCACATGAGGAAAAATAGGAGAAGACAGACAATCCTTAACGTTGGTCTGTCCAACTTATCCTTCAATGCCACAGACTTCTTTACACCATAATCAAATAAACCTTTGTGTAAAGCTGGCTTCCTAAGTTGTGGAGAGAAAAAGAGGACATAACCAAGAAGGGATCCTGCCAGAAATCCTGCAATGTTTGAGAAGTTATCGATAAAGGGTAGCATCCCAAGAGCAAAGTTCACTGCAAAGACCAAGAGTAGTGCCATCACAGCCTGAAACTGCACACAAATGCAGGCACTTTAGAAACTTTGATACAGAAGCAACACATCAATCAAGCAGGAGAATAATGTGTAGAGGGCAAAGAAAAACCTTATTGCTGAATGATTTCCAATCTCGAATAAGCCCAGAAAAGGAAGCACCAATCAAACCAAAGAGAGCAGCTGAAGAGGAAACATCAGGTCTATTTTGGACAAAGAGTGTGGCCATCAAACTACCAGTGAAGACCGACAATATGTAGATGATCCCAGTCCTCGCTGCAGATAAGATACGAAGAGCATGAACATATCTGATTTCCAGGACACTTAGGGAATACTAAATAGGAAAAAAGAAGTTTTACATGGTCCATATTTCTGTTCCAGATTAATCCCAATGAAGATAGCACTGGAGAGGCTGATGAAAAGGTGAAATACACCAGCATGAAGCAAAGGGGAGGTGAAGAGGCGCCATACTCCATGGATGTTTGTCAAATGTATTCTACGAAGCGCTCCCATCCTACCCAACCTGTAGCCATTTCATTACAGCACATCACTGTAAACTTGTGTTTGTATGGTACATTGATATACATTGTTGCTCCACACTTTACTACTCAAAAGAAGTAATAACCTAATAGTCTGCCATTGAAAGATCACTTGATTTTAAGAATTAAAGTACGAATTCCAATCCAATTCAAAGTTCAACAATAGCTTAATAATCCAATATACACATGTAAAATCTGATTGACTAGGTAAGCATTATTTCAATCTGATTGATTCATGTAAGCAATAATCACATCCCATTTCAATTGACACATCAAATGTAGTATGTACTATTGATTCCAGTCCAAGATTATGCAATTTTTTAATTCCTCAAAATCAACCCACAAAATCCAACCCCTAATTTAAAGCATCTTCGTATGAATTACTTAACATAAAACAGATAATTCAACCCCATTTCAATTCAAGAAATTCCAACTACATATTCAATAAAACAAATAGAAAACAGGTAAACCCAGTTCAATTCCACAAATCACAAGTTCATATAAACAACATTTTGAAGAAAATCACATAAATATCATCCCAAAATACTCAAAAAAAAAATTACATAAAAAATCCAAAGAGAGAAAGAGAGGGACTAACGCAGAAGAAGAAGGACCAAGAAGAGGGTTCTCATGAAGAGGCTGAAAGAACATCAAAGCACAATCTCCATGCGAGTTACTCAAGCAATTGTTAACAATCATCGTACAAAAAAACACGACAAGATGAACAAAAACGAACAATGATATGACCCAAGTAGTCTCCTTGTTCTTCGACATTGACCCAAAGAATGGAATCCTCTGTTTTTCCCCTGTTACTTCGTCGACGCCATTATCGTCGAAATCCTTCATATCCACGATCTGGGTTTCCTGCATTTTCCAGAAATCCATTTGATTTTTGAACTTGATATTAGGGTTTTGATTTGGGATTATTTTGATGAATTTAGTATTGGGGTTAGTAGATTACAGAGTGATTTCTTTGGTTAGGGTTTCAGTGTAACAATTTTGAGAAGAAGAAACTTCTGGAATATTGTTTGTGGGTGTTACAGTGAGAGAGACAGAGTGAGAGTTGTTAATTTCGCGGGAAATATAGTTCTGGATTTACAGCTGAGTGAGTGAGTTCAGTGATTGATGAAATGCCTCAAGGCCCAAAGAAAAATGTGTTTCTTGACGCTTTGTGTCTTATCTAAATTTACCTCAATGGTTTAGGTCGGGTCAATAATGCCACATTTGGTTCAGCTTTGAGTCGGCTCGGTTTTTTCGGGTTCATTATACCACATGTGGTTCGGTTTTGAGTTAGATAATCAGATATATATAATTCAATATTTTCATATCTATGCTAGTACACTTGTAATCTATTTAATTCTATATTGATTGTATGTATTTTTTTGGGAAGTTAAATTGCTTCGTTATAACATGAAGGACGATATGGTAGTTGATTGGCATGATTGGCTAGGTAATAAAGGTGTGAAGCAAACTGACAAGCTTAATATGAGGCAAGAATTGCCCTTAAAACTTGCTACAATTTAGGTGGTAGGGGTAAAGGGGTCTCCATCGCTATAAGTATATGTATGTAAATTCTACGTTGAAGTATATATCAAAACAACTTAAATCTTAGCTTGAAAAGTGAATTTTCTTATTCTATATGTTCGTATATTTCTTCTGCCAAAATATTTTCAATTAAAACAAGAATTTATCATCTATATTGTACAACTTAATGACTGAACTACTACTCCTAAGCGATAAACCCTACATTCTATATTATATATGTGGTAAATGTGTACTTAAGCATGATTAAAATATATTTAGAAAAGGTATACTAACCTTTTCTTTTTGGAATAATACACACCATATTCCCTAATCCGGCATCAATGAAAGAGATAGTAAAATTTTGGCATATAGCAAATAATTAATCAAAATGTTTATATGTAAACACCTTGAGAATGAATAATCATCAAAATAACGACGTGACATCAAATAGTATATACGATAAATGTCTATATACCTTCTTTTGTAAGGTTGTATATGAATTGTCAACTGAATAAGATAACAATTATTGCCTCATTGCATGGATATTATTTTTATTTGACAAATGTTATAGACATTGGATAGCATGATTCAATAATATAAGTATATTTTCCGTACAAGTCTATTTTAGTGGCTAGAAACGCCACATATAAAATACAATTGACCTTCAAACATTATCTTATAATTTCATTTCATGCTTCTGCCAATTCTTTCTTATATTTTTCTAAATAAATGTGATTTTTTTTTTCTTTTTTAATGTGGTATACCAACCTTTGATAATTGATATGCATGCTCCATGAAGGACAAACAAATCTTACCATGCTTATGAGTACCGCATTTATATAATTAACATTTAACAAGTATAGATCGATTTGCAACTACGTATGGAGTATATTCCTTTAATTCATCCCCTTGAGTTCTTCCTACAACCGACATATTCAATCTTCAAGCACAAAATTTCTCTGTTACTATAATTAACACAAATCGTCAAAAAATTAGTGTCAAGCAAAAAAAGTTTTAGTGAATATTACAAAGTAGTAGTTATCCAAGTAATGCGGTAGTAACAATTATCGAAAAGTAGATATGATAGTACGCAGGGGTCGGATACAGCTAACACCAAGGGTATGCCTTTGCATACCCGGCATGTTCAATAAAATAAAATTTGTAGTAGCTTTATGGCAAACAATTAAGTGTAACTAGCTAGTTATCCAAGTGTCTCTTAAGCTTTCTTGCATTGTCACTCTAATCTAGAGTTCGAATCTATTGTTAAACATTTTTCCCAACATTATTTTTACTGACTACTATATGTTTAGAACATTTAGGATTATTTTCTATTAAGTACATAATTGTGCACACCCTGTATGTGAATCTTGGATATGCCAGTACGTCGTGAAGGGTGATTATGTTTATTTCATCATATCAAATACTCGAGTAAATCTCTATTATACAAATCAGCTCTAGAAAAATTGAATGATGCTCACCTAAAATACCTTTTTCCTATTATTAGTTAAGATTAATGTTTTCAATACTAACGTTATATGAGTAGTCAGTTGGTCACGCATAGTCAAATCAGCTAATACAATCAGCTAGTCAAAATCAGTTAACACAATCAGGTTCACCTTTTAGCTTTTTACCAAACATGGCCATATTCTTTCAAAATTTATGGATGCATAGCACGCATGCATATTGGTCATGTTCAACTATTTTAATTTAGTTACTTATTTCATATTACTCGAAATAAAATAATACAGTAAAAGAGAGAGACAGTAGCTATGCCTTTAATAATGTGAAAACTCCGATTTTAGCATAATTTGTTGCAAGCAATTAAGCAAAGTGGACTCTTCTCTTCCAAACAACGGAATGTTCTTAACTTAGTTCGAAGGGCATTTTTCTTGTTTGTTCTTAGCTTTCAACACAAATTTACATCAATTGAAATAAATTAATTAAAGTTGCGGGAACTATAGATTATGAAAGAGACAAGAGATGAAATTATGGAAAAAATCAATAAAACGAAAAATCAAAAGTGGGCGGCATGAAAATTCACAAACTCAAGGGTTTAGAAAGTGACTTACACTATTAGGATAACTATTTTGTGTTTTTCAAAGCATGATTTATTACGCATTGGAGAATTATACCTATATTTAGATGATAAGATGATTTGGATCCCACGTTTAAGTTTTTAGGTTCCACAACAATTGGAAAAATATGCATGGTAACAATGTACTCCTTGCCTTTGTAATCAATTATCACAAATACAAATTCAGTTTTAAGGTGTACTGTGTTTTATTTCATATTTTTTTTATACGCAGTGTTGTATAATAGTTACAACATTATGTAATCTTGTATCTTGTAATTTGTATACTCACATAAATTTAAGGTTAAAAATATATACCCTGTTAAATATTTGTTGTAATTTTGGGGTATTATTTGTGAAATATAAAATATTCCAAAGTTGCAACTAATATTTAACGGAGATAGTATATTGAGATGAGTAAATCTCCTCGTTTTACAATAATTCTAAAACGAGGAAAGTAATTTTTTTAGCCACCGCGTCTTGGATGTATATTGTATATTTGTATGTATGAACATGGAGGAACATGTGATGGATGTATGTTGGATGGATCATTGGTTTAGAAAATAAGAAATAGTAACTGATAATAGTTGACTTTTAAGAGATATTGGAATAATGGGTTTGACAAAATCTCGTACAAAAAAACAAACAAATAGTATTTCTTTCATTTTTTTAATGACACCATTTGACTTTTACAATATTCATTAACTATACTTTGACTAGATTTTGTGATTTATAACTATGATAAAACATAGTTAAGTGGACTCTTGTTTGAATCGTCTCAATATATATTTTATTAAAATCCACTTCTTATAAATTTACAATGTCGTGATTTAGAGATATTAAACGTTAAAATAGTGCATTGACAAGCGTGAAAAGAGAAAGGTGTAAAAAAAAAAACAGAAGTAGTCTACTTTCCTCAACTTCCTCGAACTTTCTTAAATCCATTAGACAAACTACTCCGAATTATGCTTGCCCACTTGCAGATTTTATTTCAGGAAATTCCCGTTGGTTTTCTTATTATAATTTTTTTCAGCCAATTGATTTCTTATTATAATAATAGTAATACGATTATTCTAACTTGTCTTTACGAAAGATCATGACGATGTTTTAAAATTTTATACTATGTAACAATTTATTGATGCCACATTGCCACTAATTTTAGTAGTTGAACAATATGTCTATGTGTTAAGTACATTGATTTATATATGGAGTAATATATATCTAATGGCTATTTTATATACAAAAAAATGTTTGTTATCTCCAAATTTGTTGATTGTCAATTTTACTTCCCCTCAATTATTTAATTGTCAATTATCTTACCAAATGTTTTTAATGAATTTAGAGAAAAGTGTGTGGTATGATACTAAGTACGAATTAGCTTTTAATGATCATAAACTCCTAATTTAAGGATTTTAAGCTAAGAGTCCCAATAATGTTATCAATCCATAATGACCAAAGGAGCCGTCAATCATACACTTAAACTTAATTGTGAAAGGTGATGTGTGAGTTACATGCTTAAACTTAATTATCTCTTATTAATGTTGATTATATGTTTAATAATTTAAGTAAGGAATTAATTTTTCTAATTTTATTATCCATCTATGTTATGAAGTTTCTAAAATTAGTATGTCATAACAACCTAGCTATGGGGTGCACCAAGGTAATATGAAGTATAAATTTTGTTAAAAATAAAAAATAAAAAATTTGTGTTCTATTCACCTGATTTTTACTTATCTAATTATCTTACCTGAATTTATTTAAACTTATCTGAACTTATTAAATTAAAACTTATTTTAGTTGTAATTTGAACTTGGGTTACCCTTATCAGAATTTATTTTTCCTGAATTGAACTTATTAGACCTAAGTAAAAAATAAGGTGAACAAAATAGGCCTTTAAAAGATAATTTATTTTCTATGTATTAACCGAGATATTAGTTATATATGAAGTATATATATGACAAGTAATTAGTTATTTTTTCTTTACTTGCACCTAAATTTTGTATTACAAGTATAAGTTACACGAATAACAAAAGGATGTGCTCAATGTTATCTAAACCTATGGATCGATATCTAAAATGATTGACGATACGTCTTCAAATGAGTGAACCCTCTATGTCGAGTCCATCAACGAACATAATTAAATTTTTTTTTATTTTTTTTATGTTTTGGACAACTCAATCACACATTTGTTTATAGTTCAAATGAGTTGCCGTATATAACGTATATCTTTTCTTTTTGTTCTGTATATCATGAAATTTAAGACGAATTTTCAAACATACATGAAGTATTAAGCCAACTTACATTTGGTTCTCGATTTAGGTGATGTTTAGATAGGGTGTTGTATCTTCTCAAGTTCTTACATCACTTATAAGTTATAACATCAAGAATCAAAAATCCTAGGAACTTCAAATTGCTAATGAAATGACATGAAAGAAAACCGTAACCATGGGATTGATTAAATGATTAGTTCGAGGACAGCTTAGGCTTCCTTAACATAATCACAAATGATTGATGGACCAATGTGTAACTTTTGATGCAAACAAGGATTGTAATTCTCCACTAATATTCGGACACGT